TAATTCTATCAAAAGCTATACTCTCTCATTTTCTTCAAATAATATATTTATTAACACATAACTCTCCATCAGACTGTCCATTATGTAAACAGAAGCATACTAGTGATAATGGATATATTTTACGAAATAAAAAATCATATAGATTTTATTGTCATCGTGCCAATCATGAACGAAATTCTGGAATGAGAAATCCTTCAGTAAAGTAAGTTATTAGCGAAACTGCTTTGGATCAAGAATAAAAGCTTTTAAATCTTACAAAACTAGACCAATCCAGAATTTCAGATCTCAACAATTGCTTCACGTGAGGTGAACTAATTGATATATGCATATCTGGGCAGAAATTTTCTCGCAATAAAATTTATGGTGCAATTCAAGTAACAGTTATTTGTATTCAGGTAACATTAAGATTATGGGTGCTCAAAACAGAAAATACAAATGGTGGGCTATATTTTGATATGGCGTCAAAACTAGATTTTGCCAAGTATGAAGTTAACTTAGTTGAGCTAGGTGGTGAGGCAGTGAAATTAATTAATTTAATAGATCGGGCAGTTACTAAGGGTCTAATCCTTTACCGCAATATTAATTTTCTACTGTATTCACTGAATACTCCAGCTCTCAATACAAAGTTCTTTAACCTTTTCTTAGGATTTTTGGCTAAACCAGTGATAGAAATTAATAAAGAAATTATAGATCTGATTCTCTGGTATATATCGAATGTAATTTGTGATAAAAACAAAGAGTTTAATGAGTATATCTGGAACTGGTAGACATATTTAGTGCAGAAGCCAGAAAATAAGCCTTGAACAATTTTGGTACTAAAATCTACATTGCAATAGTGCAGAAAAAATATTATTACTGACTTTATTGGTGACAAAGTCTTAGGGTTATACTTCCATTTCACAACGTCAGATTTGGAAAAAATTCTTGGACGATTTAATAGTGCCATTCAAGCTCGAAAGCTTATTGTTATAATAAATAAGACTGGGATGTCTAGTGGGAATGGTATAGATTTAATGGACATCTCAAATCACTTATAACAAAACGAATGGTAACTATAGAACGCAAAGACCTTGAAACTATATGAATAAATAATTATGCTAGGTATATAATTACAAGCAATCAGGATGCACCACTCAAAATAAATATAAGTGATTTTTGTATAGTTTGTTTTAATGTCTCTGCATGCTGTAGAGGTAATATACCATATTTTGATCAGCTAAGGATATTCTAGACCATCCTGATGCACCTGGCTAATGCACTTAGAGTAGTCATGTCATATCTTCTTAGCTGTGATTTATCAAATTGGAGTTCAGGAAAAATTCCTGCAACTAAGATAAAGATAGAAACAATACGAGAGCAACTTTCTAATCCTATTCGATTTATAATTAATTATATTACAACTTGGCCTGAAAATTAAATTAGCAGGTTTGGCTGTGAAAAAGTATACCAGAATTATCTCAAATAGTGCAGGTTTAATGAAAAAAAGCCATTAATTAGTAAAGTCGATGGTAAGAAATTTTCACTAATTAGTATTGATCGGACATGTTTATAGAATAATAAAATAAGAGTATATCAGTATATTCTTGACTGCTTCAAGATCGTAGTCAAGCTCCAAGAATCTGGTTTAGGTAATATCGAAGAATTTTCTGATATACCTCAAAATGAATTGCTGGCTCATGAGACCACAAATATACTCATATTCAATATGCCAGAAATCATTCCTCCAAAATAATCCTGACTCTTCCAGAAAAGAATACGCCTCCACCTAATACTAATAAAAATAAAAAGGCAGATAAGTAGGGTGATTCGACTCAAGACCTTTTTGATTATGTATCAGAGTAAGCCAAAGTTCCAGTCAGGCAGTCACCTCAATATCTGGCATATCTGAGATTTCTAAAATGCCTGAGTCACTAATCAATAAGTCCAAAGTTAATAAGCCTTCCAAATTTAACGAATCTAGCAACAAAGTGGTGAATTTATCTCCTAAAGAAATAAGTGTCAAGCGCAATTTACCCAAGCTTAATGAAGTATTATCTGCTATACTTCTGTCGAGAGCTTAGTGAGAAGAGTGTCTCAGAAAAAAGGCAGTCGAACTTGAAAAGGATCCAGATGTCTTTGTAACCATCACTGAAGAAGACAGGCTTGATTTTACCGCATTTCAATATAAAATGAAAATAGATACACGAATGTATGGTTATGCAAAAGAGGGTGGAGAAGACCCCAAAGAACATATGGAAATGACAGTACGAGAAAGATTAATAGGCGAAGAGATTATCTGATGTGAATTTGAAGATAAAGGACTCACATCCTCATGGTTTGATACTGATGAGGAATGGCAAAAAAATGTAAGTATATTCCAGGAGAATGGTATGCTTTGGTAAAGAGCAAATAAGAAGCCAGTTTATAAATAAGGTGTTTGAATAAGAGGGTCTTTTTTTTTCTTTACAATTAGGCGATATATAAATCTAAATTATTATTATTATTTTTTACCGATTATAAGTGAGGTCTGCATATAGAGAATTGTCAGAATATTTTTTTTTTGAATTGAAGTTTTTCAGATATATAATAATCTAACAATTACGCAAAATCTAGTAGTTACTTCACAACCTATATTTACACAGCTATGTCCACGATTGTAACAAAGTATGTTGCAGAGCACAAACTCAATAAAAATATGAGTAATGAAGAACTTAGCCAGCACGTCCTAGCATTACTCAAGCTTTTGACAGATAAACTGAAAAGAGACAAGGGTCGCCAGCGCTTTCAGAAAGGGTATAGTTTTAGTAAAGAGCAGGCGTTTGTATTAGTTCCTGATTAGAAAATTTGCTGAAGTAAAAGTCAGGTAATTCCCAAAGAAACAGGGAAAGTTAATATATGCCAAATATTCAACATCATCCCAGACAGAGAAACCATCGAAAGTATAGTCTAGCGTATTGTTCGAAATAATCTTAGTGAAAAAGAAGTAAAGGCGATAGCCAAAGCTTTAACTATAACATCCCTTAATCCTATCGCCACAACATCCCGTCTTAGTAAGTTCTGAAGAGAGTTGCAAAAACTCCAAATGGTGTAATGAAAAATAAAATTTGTGACTTAATGCCCAGAAAAGATAATCTCTGCTATATTAAACAAAGATACAACCTGCGTATCTAATAAAATTCAAATAAAGCATAGGGATTAACGTAAAAATAAAGGGATTGATTTTTCAGATTACTTTTCGTTAGAATCAGTTAAGAAGAGACTCAATTTCTATGATGTGTCTAACACATCTGATGTACAAGCCTTAGCCGATATAATAATAATGCTCTGCATCCGTCCCACCGAAATTAAAGACTTGCGCATATCTAATGGAAGTGTAACTGAATACACAAAAAACTGAGGCCAATAGGATAATCCTCAGATATTTAGATCGTTAAAAAGAGATGAAGAGCGGGCTAAACTTCTCTATATGGACTGATTTGTCTACCTTTAATTAAAATATTAATTTTATTACATTTTTATTATACAAAATACTATATAATATACAGTAAATTGGGAATGAGTATTAAAAAATTTTTATTTAATGTTATTATACTATAATTTGGTAAATATTTCTTTTAAATTAATATAATTCTTAGCACTTACTATATATATTAAAAATTTATATCTTAACTTAAAACGTAAATATCTCCAGATCCAGTGATCCAATCAGCAAGCTCTTTTTTCGTTCATATAGAACAGATTAAGGGCTTTCCAAAGAGCCTAAATTTATACAAAATAGATCAGTGAATCCCAAGATATTTGCATTTAAGCATGTTAAAAAGTTCATACTTCAACTTTAAATGTAAATATTTCTGGATCTAATGATTCAATTGGCGAGCTCTTTTTTCGCCTATAAAGTCTAGAACAAGAGCTTCCAACGAGCCTAAAATTATAGAAAACAGATCAATGAATCTTGATATATTTGCGTTTAAAGATGGTAATACAAACTCTGACATAAAATAATTATTTTTATTGTTTGAAAATATCTATTATGATACCATTTTTTATATGATATTTTTATTATACTTTTATAAACATTTATAGCTACTAAGGCTATATAAATTTTTATTTTACTTTATTTTTTATTAAAATATACTTACTTTTTAATAATATATGTTAAAAATTCCATATATATGAGAAATGGGTTTTTTATTAGTGAAATGGG